CTGAGTCTGGGGGTGCTGAGTCTGGGCGTGCTGAGCCTGGGGGTGCTGAGCCTGGGCGTGTGGAGCCTGAGGGTACTGTGTCTGGAGGTGCTGAGCCTGCGCGTGCTGAGTCTGGAGGTGCTCTAGGTGTCCCATCGCGGCGGGAGCCCCTCTCTCCACAGCACCTTTGTGAGTGGTACTCTCGGCGCTGTCGAGGTGCTGCTGGTGCTGGAGCTGCTGGAGGTGCTGCTGGGACTGGAGACCCTGGGGCTGAGGGTACCGGTTCTGTCTCTGCTGTTTCTGGAGGCGCTGCGCGGCCGCGGCCGTACTACGTTCCGCTCCTTCAGCAGGTTCTTGGCTCCCCGCCTTCTCCTGGTCCTCCTCCTCCTTTCCTGAGTCCACCGCCTGTCCAGTCCCAGTCGCAGTTGCAGCTGGCCTCTCTACTGCCTGGTCCTTCTCCTTACTCTCGATTGACTAGAGGTCTTAGCGAGCGTCGTGAGCCTGAGTCTCGTCCTGTGTTGCCTGAGTCTCGTTCTGCGTCGCCTGTCCATACTGTTCGCGCTGGTCGTGTTTCGCGTCCGCGTCCTCCTCCTGTCCCTGACATTCACTCTATGACTCTGCGTCCTTCCACTGCTCCACATCGTGTCCTTTTGCCGTCTCCTCCTGCGTCCTCTCTTCCTACCGGTCCGGACCCTGCGTCTGACTCCCTACGTGCTGCTAGTCCAGCTGTCACGCGTTTTCTGGCCACTGCTATCACTGACCCTTTGTTTGAGTCCACTGCTGCGTCTGCTCTTGTTACTGAGCTTGTTGACTTTGCTGCAGCCTGTCGCCTAGACTTTGCCACCAGTCTTGTTGCTGAGTCTGCATCTGCGTCTGTCTGTCCTCCGTCCGTCGGGGGTGAGTGTGCTCTTGGCACGGACGTTCTTGAGGACAGACAGGAGGAGTTTGAGTCCTTTGCTGCTTCTGTACCTCATCTCTTGTCCATGCTGATTGCCCCTGAGGGAGACCCGGATGCACCAGACATCCCGACCCCGCGCTCTTACGCAGAGGCGATAGAGGGTCCCTACTCCTCTCAGTGGCAGGCAGCCATGGACGCCGAGATGGCTTCCTGGAAGTCCACTGGCACCTACGTAGACGATGTTCCCCCACCTTGGGCGAACATCGTCAGTGGCATGTGGATCTTCAGGGTGAAGCGGCCGCCGGGTTCTCCGCCTGCCTTCAAGGCGCGTTACGTTGCACGGGGCTTCAGTGAGCGACAGGGAGTTGACTTCTTTCAGACCTTCTCCCCTACCCCGAAGATGACCACTCTTCGGGTACTGCTGCACGTTGCTGCTCAGCGTGACTACGAGCTCCACTCGCTTGACTTCAGCACAGCCTTCCTACAGGGCAGCCTGCACGAGGAGATCTGGCTGCGCCGCCCACCTGGCTTCACTGGGTCGTTTCCTGCTGGTACCTAGTGGAGCCTCCGGCGGCCAGTCTACGGTCTCCGCCAGGCACGCCGTGAGTGGCACGACACACTCAGGACGACTCTTGCTGCTCTTGGTTTTGCTCCTTCCACTTCTGACCCTTCTCTGTTTTTACGCACTGACACTACTCTGCCGCCGTTCTACGTTATCGTGTACGTAGACGACCTCGTCTTTGCTACTGCTGACACTGAGGCACTCGCCCACGTGAAGTCCGAGCTGCAGAAGAGACACACGTGCACAGACCTGGATGAATTGACAAGCTATCTTGGCTTGCGGATCACCCGGGACAGAGCACAGCGCACCATTACCTTGACTCAGTCACACATGGTGCAGCAGGTCCTTCAGCGCTTCGGCTTCACGTACTCCTCGCCACAGTCCACTCCTCTGCCTACCGGTCACTCGCTCTCAGCTCCACCTTCGGACGAGTCCGTAGAGCCGAGTGGCCCGTATCCAGAGCTTGTGGGCTGCCTCATGTACCTGATGACTTGCACACGACCTGACCTCGCATACCCTCTCAGCCTTCTGGCTCGCTACGTGGCTCCCGGCAGGCACCGAATGGTGCACTGGGATGCTGCGAAGAGGGTGTTGCGATACTTGTGCAGTATATCGGGCATGGGGCTCGTGCTTGGAGGACGGGCTCGAGTTGTTCTCACTGGTCACACTGACGCCTCCTGGGTTGACGACTTGGCTACGCAGCGGTCGTCTCAGGGTTACACCTTCAGCCTTGGCTCCAGTTCTGTCTCTTGGCGGTCTACCCGCTCTTCTTCTGTTCTCAGCTCCAGTTGTGAGGCTGAGATCTACGCTGGGGCCATGGATGCACAGGAGCTTCGCTGGCTCACCTACCTGCTGACCGACTTGGGAGAGGCGCCTCGTTCTCCTCCAGTTCTGTACGTCGACAACAAGGCCATGCTGGCCTTGTGTCAGGAGCACAGACTGGAGCACAGAACGAAGCACATTGCTCTGCGCTACTTCCTTGCTCGAGAGTTGCAGCAGCGTGGCCAGCTTCCTCTTGCTTACGTGGCCTCTCAGGCCAACACTGCTGATGTTTTCACCAAGGCACTTCAGCCTTGTGATCATCAGCGTTTCTGTACTGTGTTAGGCCTTGTACCTACTGTGCCTCACTTGCTTTCTTCTTGACTCTGCTTGTACTGTACTCTTTATACATATACCTGCATGCTTATACTTGCTAGGTTGTGTTCACTGTATTGTTTGTTCTCCTTTATGTAACTCTGCATGTGAACTGGCCTTGTGGCCATTTGCTTGTGCTCAGACTGCGTGGTGACTTTGTGATCCACCCTGAGCTTCCTTTGCCTTTCTTGATTGGTCTTGTGACCTCTTGTTCTCCCCCACTTTGCCTATGGGGGTGTGTCAAACTTATATGCTGTAGTCTGTTTAGGCTGTAGTGGGGTAGTTCTTACAGGGTACAACACTTTTAGGTTTCCTATATGTACCCACCTGCTTTCTAGTTCATCCATTCATTCGCTCACAGTCTAACAGATTCATCTCCCCATTGGTTCACGCGGCATAGCTAACCGTAAGTAACCTCCGTTGACTCGGCATCCGGGAAGCCGACTCGTCACAGCAAGTCGCTCGCTGTTACAGTTGTAACAGCGATCTCTTTGATTTTCCTGCTTGGCCTGCATAAAATAATCGTCGTTCCGTCTTCAACGAGCAGAGGAACGAGAGTCACTAACTACACATACGCGGCACGCACGAATAGCTGCTGGTAGGCTGGTAGCCCTGTAAAGTATTCCCAGCAAAGCTAGGAAATGGCGGGATGACATTTCCTAGCTGTGTTGTCGGTTGACAACTTTCCAGTTTGCTGAGTTGTATTTCCGTGTTGTGATGGATGTTGTGTGTGTGGACCCGAGGCAACTATTTTGTGTTTCGGATTTCAAACCCGGGCCGCATCTGTCCCTACGCGAAAAAAGCGAAGCCCGCCACCCTGCGTAACATCGCATTTTGTCGCATAGATTCAAAACCTCTGAATAGTTCTACTTTACGATTCATTTTCAAAAGTGCTGTTTCGGGAAATGGACGGTTTCAATCGGGAAATGGAACTGTCCGTTTTAACGAACGATCATTTAAAATCGTAACTTCAGGCAAGTGCAAAATGGTTACACGCCCTAAGGCTATCCGAAATAATGGCTGTGGTAGAGGAAAACGAGCACACAAGCGAGCGAGCAGTAAGGAAACGGATATGCATGCCCGCATGCACAGAGCATGAAGCAGATTGGAAGAGAAACGACTCGATTGACCACTAAAACGGTTCAATCAGAATGGGCCAGATTGTGAAGGGGACACATAACACGCCCTTCCATGTGCATTTTGACAGGTGTGTTGTTTCAAGGGGAATCATCTTCTTCCACGTGTCATGTGGATCATGTGCGCGTGCGCACTCTCACTCACATCCACCCTCCTCTCACTCACATCCACCCTCCTCTCATTCACATCCACCCTCCCCTCACTCACACACCCGCCCGTTCCATTTGTCAGAGGTCGAAGCACCGTCTCGGGACATGCACACATAGTAGCAGCAGCACAAACCCCTGCCCCTCCAGATTCATTTCACTCGCCTCTCACTCACGCCCATCTCCCTGTCTCTTAATCACACAGCACCACCACTCACTACCACCACCCCACCCTCAACAACCCATCGACTCACTCACATCAACCCGCCCATTCCGTTAATAGGAGGGCGAAGCACTGTCTTGAGACCAATGCACCAGCTGGTCCCGGGGAACGCATACACAGCAGCACAGTCCCCCGCCCCTCCAGGCTCACATCACTCGCCTATCACTCACACCACCCCACCCTGCACACAACAAACCACTGACTCACTCACATCGACCTGCCCGTTCCATTAACCAGAGGGCAAAGCACTGTCTTGGGACCAATGCACCAGCTGCTCCAGGGGAACGTGTACACATCAGCACAGCCCCCCGCCCCGCCAGACTCAAATCAACCCGCCTATCACTCACATTGACCCGCCCGTTCCGTTAGCCGGAGGGCGAAGCACCGTCTTGGGACCAATGCACCAACTGCTATCAGGGAACGCATACACAGCAGCACAGTCCCCCGTGTAAAGATTGGAAACTGAATCATTAACTTGATTCGGAAGTGAACAAGCATACATAGGTTTGGGAAGAGAAGGTTGGAAGGGAAAGGAGGGAGGTGGGATTGGGGGAGTGGGCCAACCTATGGCCCATTGGGTTGGGTTGACCACACTTGGGGAAGTGGGCCAACCTATGGCCCATTGGGTTGGGTTGACCACACTTGGAGAAGTGGGGCAACCTATGGCCCATTGGGTTGCATTTGGGGGGCTCCACCACAATTGGGTTGGATTGGCACCCCAAAATGCAAGACTACACCCAAAGTTGGGTGTAGTCCCAACCCAACTGTGCACCACAATTGGTGTACAGTCACAAGTATTAGCATGCTAGAACATAGGAATTCTAACACCCCGCCCCTCCAGGCACCTTTTGAGTCGAGTAAATAGTGACTCACATTACTTGCCTCCCATTGACAACACCCCACACACAAAAACCCATCAACTCACATCGACCCGCCCATTCCGTTAGCCAGAGGGCGAAGCATTGTCATGGGACCAATGCACCAGCTGCTCCGGGGGAACACGTACACAGCAGCACAATCCCCCGCCCCCCCAGGCACCCTGTCCGCTCGCAGAATCGCTCGCGTGGCCTCAACGGTGATAGGAGGGAGGGTGGTGCAGGCGTTGAAGTTGAGTCGCATGGTGTAGGTGTTGGAAGTGACGGTGTAGTTAGTCTGATCGTAGAAGGTGATGTTGGTGGAGGAGACGGTGGGGGTGGCGCCTGCAAGGGAGGGGAGAGGAAAGGAACACAGGGAGGTGGAACGTGAAGGGTGGCCAAGGAAAGGCTGTGACTCGCCCTTAGGGTAACACGGGTGGATTGGGGTGGGCAGGGAGTAAGAAAAGGGTACATATTCAGACATTGTTATAAACACCAGCGTTGGTCACACCGAGACTACAAACAACATTGGGTCATGATGACTGGATTGCAAACAACATGGGGGTTACCGCTGATGTAGCTAGTGCTAGTCATGCCATAGCCGGGAGGGCACATGCAGTATGGAACGTTCCCAGAGGCAGTGGCCGTGCACGTGGCTCCTGCAGGGCAGCCCCCACATGGGTCGATGCCTGGATAGATAGGGAAGGAGAGAGGAGGGAGAGATGGAAAGGAAAGTGGAGGGAGTGTGGATTAGGAAGAAGGCAGTGGAGAACGATTTTGTCTTTTCTAGAACCCTTATGGTGGATTGGGAGTGTGAGGGATGAGAGCGAGGGGCTGTATAGTGATGGAGCTTGTTTTGTTTGTTGAAGCAAAGGAGTGGGTGATGTGATGCGAATGGGGTTATTTTGAGCACAGAGCAAAGCACAAAGTTGAGCAACACGCAACTCGCAAAAGGTTATTGTGGACTCAAAGGTAGTGTATTTATCTTATCTGAACACATATAAGGAGGGTGTACAGGCTTGAATGAAATAAAGGCGTAGAAAACAGAAAATGCGATGCATGCAGCAAAGGTCATCCCAACGTATTCATTTACTCAATCACTGCACGTCAGTCAATGCCACCTGTACGTCAGTCAATGCCACATGTACGTCAGTCAATGCCACCTGTACGTCAGTCAATGCCACCTGTACGTCAGTCAATGCCACCTCCACGTCAGTCAATGCCACCTGCACGTCAGACAATGCCACCTGCACGTCAGTCAATGCCACCTGCACGTCAGTCAATGCCACCTGCACCTCAGTCAATGCCACCTGCACGTCAGTCAATGCCACCTGCACGTCAGCCAATGCCACCTGCACGTCAGCCAATGCCACCTGCACGTCAGTCAATGCCACCTGCACGTCAGTCAATGCCACCTGCACGTCAGTCAATGCCACCTGCACGTCAGTCAATGCCACCTGCACGTCAGTCAATGCCACCTGCACGTCAGTCAATGCCACCTGCACGTCAGTCAATGCCACCTGCACGTCAGTCAATGCCACCTGCACGTCAGTCAATGCCACCTGCACGTCAGTCAATGCCACCTGCACGTCAGTCAATGCCACCTGCACGTCAGCCAATGCCACCTGCACGTCAGTCAATGCCACCTGCACGTCAGTCAATGCCATCTGCACGTCAGTCAATGCCACCTGCACGTCAGCCAATGCCACCTGTACGTCAGTCAATGCCACCTGCACGTCAGTCAATGCCACCTGTACGTCAGTCAATGCCACCTGTACGTCAGGTCAGTCAATGCCACATGTACGCCAGGTCAGTCAATGCCATGTGTGCGTCAATCAATGCCACCTGTACGTACCCACACACGTGCCCGACACATTTTGGTAGCCTGTCTTGCAAGCACAGGAGGCCACGCCTGCACCGTCCTTCACACAATCAGAAACCGTAACGTCGCAGCCCTGAATGGCACAGGTATCTGGGGGAAGGATGGAGGAGGGGGGGGGGGAGGAATGACTTTTGAGTCGACTCAAAAGTCAGCAGCGTCCTTCACGCACTCAGAAACTGCAGCGTTGCAGCCCTGAATGGCACAGGTATCTGAGGGAAGGATGGAGGGGAGATGGAGGGAGAGGAACACGGCACCACGTGGCACCACAAGGCACACGCATCTGATTGGGACAACGGCCCACATTTCACCTTGAAGACGTCTCAAAACGGGCCAAGAAGAGCATACGAGAAACTAAAAAAAGAACGGGTGTTAGTGTGAAGAACAATTGGGAAGGAGGTGGCTTTCAACTGGCCTCGAAAATTTAAAATGAACTTTTGGAAGGAGGTGGCTTTTGGAATAGACTTGGGAGTGGAAAGGGGGTGGGCGGGTGAGAATGGAGGGAGTTGAAGAGGAGATGGGAAGGGCACGAGAGGAGAGAAACAGAGGCAAGGCTAAGAACATAACAGCAGCACGTACCAGTGCACGTCTTGCCATCCGGCTGCAGCTCAAAGCCAGTGTAACATAGACAGGATGCCACTTTAGTAGTGCCGAACTTCATGCACCCGCTGTTCGCACCACAGGCCTTGAGTGCGCATGTGTCTGTGAGGGGGGAGAGAGCGAGGAAGGAGAATAATATGTGAACGGAGAAAGTTATTTCTAACAGAACTGGGGTTTACGGTTAAAGGTTTGCCAGGAACAGATCTATGGCTTGCTTTGCCATGGAGCACAGCACAGGAACAGCAGTATATGGCATGAGGAACAGCAGTATATGGCATGAGGAACACAGCTTGCACAAGTTTCAAAGCATTGCAGCACATACAAGCATAAGCACACAGCAGCCGGCACTAGTGCACGTCCTGTCATCAGTGCACTAGCGCACATGGCAGCATGTAGCAAGGCGAAGCACATGGCATGATGGCAGCATGTAGCAAGGCGAAGCACATGGCATGATGGCGGCATGTAGCAAGGCGAAGCACATGGCATGATGGCAGCATGTAGCAAGGCGAAGCACCTACTGGTGCACGTCCTGCTGTCAGCCTGCAGCACAAAGCATGTACAAGGCTAAGCACTCAGCAGCAGCACAGCACCCACCAGTGCACGTCCCGCCGTCAGCCTGCAGGACGAAGCCAGAGTTGCAAAAACAGGGCGCCAAAGCATAGCACATGGCACATGGGACATAGAAAATCACATGGCATTGAGTAGGCATGGCACAGCACCCACCAGTGCACGTCCTGCCATCAGCCTGCAGGACGAAGCCAGAGTTACAAACACAGGACGCCACTCCAGTGCTGTCCTTGATGCACGTGGCGTTGCCTCCACACGCCTTGAGCACGCATGTGTCTGGGGAACGTGAGAAAGGTAATGGGGAGGGGAAGGGGTGAGTGAGGGGGGAAAAGGAGATGGGAGGTGGGAGGGGATGGGGGAAGGGGAGGGAGAATAACACGGAAATGATATGAAGGAACAGCCTACACTACATGACATGACATATGTGACCCTGCAACTGATTACTGCTGCACAAGGCAGCAGCATGGCACAAGGCAGCAGCATGGCACAAGGCAGCAGCATGGCACAAGGCAGCAGCATGGCACAAGGCAGCAGCATGGCACAAGGCAGCAGCATGGCACAAGGCAGCAGCATGGCACAAGGCAGCAGCATGGCACAAGGCAGCAGCATGGCACAAGGCAGCAGCATGGCACAAGGCAGCAGCATGGCACAAGGCAGCAGCATGGCACAAGGCAGCAGCATGGCACAAGGCAGCAGCATGGCACAAGGTAGCAGCATGGCACAAGGCAGCAGCATGGCACAAGGCAGCAGCATGGCACAAGGCAGCAGCATGGCACAAGGCAGCAGCATGGCACAAGGCAGCAGCATGGCACAGGGCAGCAGCATGGCACAAGGCAGCAGCATGGCACAAGGCAGCAGCATGGCACAAGGCAGCAGCATGGCACAAGGCAGCAGCATGGCACAAGGCAGCAGCATGGCACAAGGCAGCAGCATGGCACAAGGCAGCAGCATGGCACAAGGCAGCAGCATGGCACAAGGCAGCAGCAAGGCACAAGGCAGCAGCATGGCACAAGGCAACAGCATGGCACAAGGCAGCAGCATGGCACAAGGCAGCAGCATGGCACAAGGCAGCAGCATGGCACAAGGCAGCAGCATGGCACAAGGTAGTAGCATGGCACAAGGCAGCATTATATAGCACAAGGCAGCAGCATGGCATGTGTGGTGTGAATCTGCCATTGCTCATGGCATCAGCACGATGCCACAATATTCAGCACATTGATTGCCATGACAGTGCACACATGGCAACGCACGGATACACATGACAATGCATGTACATGACATAGCACAGCAGAGTACACAACAATTGGCGTAGAACAGATGGAATAACACCCATGGCATGGCACATAGCAAGCCACATATCATAGCACATCGCAGCACGTGCCGTGCCCTTGCAAAGTAACATAGCCCATGGCACGGCACAAGGCATGACACAAGGCATGGCACATGGCATGACACAAGGCCTGGCACATGGCATGGCACAAGGCGTAGCACAAAGCATCGTACAAATAGCACATGTCACGGGGAATGGCTGACACATACCGGTGCATGTGACGCCATCAGGCTGCAGCACGAAGCCAGTGTCACACACACAGGTCGCCACTCCTGCAGCGCTCTTCACGCACTTGGCCCCACACCTCTTGAGCACACACGTGTCTGCCAAGGAAGGGGGAGGGGCAGAGGGGACTGTGAGTGGGAAGGACAGCATGCCTAAAGCAACAGCAACGGATGACATCGGCATAACGCATGGAACACCTGGGTTTTAGGGTTTAGGGTTTCAGGTTTAGGCATGAGCAACGGGTCAGGTTGGCTGGGTCGGGTCAACCCAACCCAACCAGGGTTTTCGCCAACTCAGGTCACTCTGGTAAGCTCGACCCGACCCGACCCGACCCGACCCGACCCGACCCGACCCGACCCGACCCGACCCGACCCGACCCGACCCGACTCGAACCGTCCCGTCCCATCCCGACCCCACCCGACCCGACCCGACCCGACCCGGCTCTCGGGTTGGGATCTGCCAGTAGGTCGACCCAACCCTGTGTACACCAAACCGACCCCCTTGAGCTGGGGCGGATCAGGCAAACCCTGAGCGTAACCAAGTTCGGTTGGGAAAATCCTCAGTCTTACTCCACCCGGCCAGCGCGAAACCAGGTTGGGTCAATCGGGTTGACCCGACCCGTTGCTCACCCCTAACCGAATCGCTGTCTTCTTGGCCGTATGCAGCAGCACATACATACTTTTGAGAAGTCTCAAAAGTCCATTGCTCACCCTAACCGAATTGATGTCTTCTTGGTCGTATGCAGCAGAACATACATACGAAGCAGTGCATTCCGCGCAGCACCCACCAGTGCATGTTCTCTTGTCAGCCTGCAGTACATACACGCTGAGCCAGATAGAAGCACATGCACGTGTACACACACAGCAGCAGCACCTACCAGTGCACGTCCTCTTGTCAGCCTGCAGCACAAAGCCAGAGTGACAAACACAGGACGCCACTCCAGCGCTGTCCTTGATGCACGCGGCGTTGCCTCCACACGCCTTGAGCACGCATGTGTCTGGGCGATCGGCAAGGGAGAGGGGAGGGAGGAGAGGAGAGAGGAGAGAGTAAGAATGACTGACGTAGTAAATTACAGAAGATTTACGTTTTCATGATTCCCAAAAGTGATTCGAGTAGAGCGCGTGAGGAGAGCATATAAGAAGGACTGACGTAATACGTGACTGCTAATGTACACACGAAGGGCAAAAAAACCCTCTTAACTTGGTGAGTGTAGGCACGGGGCGTTATAAGTTATAACATATATTCCCAATCCAAATCACAAATCTCTATCAGAAACCACAGCAGCACTCACCAACACGGCCGGTGGGGGTCATGGAGAATCCAACGTTGCAGATGCATATGGCGTCGCCCCTCTCCTTCACGCACACCGCATTGGCGCCACACTTCCTCTGCACACACGAGTCTGGTGCATGTTTGTTCAAAGTGAGCAGAGAGGGAGAGAGGATCCAGACAGAGGGATGGAACAGAGAGGAACAGAGGAGGAGAGGGAAAAAAGAACGAGCAGAGAAAACAGGGACGAGGAGGGAAGAGCAGCGAAGGAGAGGAACAGGAGAGTGCGATGGAGAACTGATAGGTGGAATGGAGAGAGCAAAAGGCGCTGGGAACAGCCAGCCACCTCACGTACTACTAAGGACTTTCTTAGTAGAAACATACGTGTGGACGAAAGAAACTGATGTGTAGTACACGAGACTGGAAAAACTCACGTGTGAATGGGATAGGAGGGAGAAATGGATTGCGGAGGGACAGGGGGGGGATGGGGCCGGAAAGAGCGCTAGGTATCAAGCATCGCATCACACACCCTTGAGTTGAATGGTTGCGTTTCAGCAGGCACTAGTTGTTGTTGCGTCTCAGGCCTTGGTGGTGGTGGTGGTGACTACGAGAGGCTGCGTTACTCGCTAGCTCTGCTGCTGACTCATGGCTGGCAGCGTTACTCGCTAGCTCTGCTGCTGACTCATGGCTGACAGCGTTACTCGCTAGCTGACAACCTTAGGGGATTGAGGGCAAGGGAACGGGCCATGGTGCGTTTCAGCAGGTCCTAACTGTCACGTTTCAGGCCTTGGTGGTGGTCGTGACTACTATAGGCTGCTGACTTACGGCTGGCAGCGTTACTCGCAGCTGGCAGGTGAACAGCAGCAGCCCTGGGCGCACAGGCTGAGAGCGGATGGGGGGAGGGATGGTAGGGGGGAAGGGGTGTGGGTGAGGGGTGGGAGGAAAGAAAGAAAGGAGGATGGGAAATGAGGCGAACAGCAGCGGGCCTGGGAGCACAGGATGAGAGCGGATGGGAAAAGGCGGGAGGGGCGGCGGGTTGAAAGGAGGGTTGAGATGAGAAGGGAAGGGCATGAGGGAAGGGAAGGGAAGGGAAGGGAACGAGGCGAAATCAGCAACTAATGACGGCAGTGACATGCGCAGCAGCTGGAGAAGAAAGGCAGCAGCCCTGGGTACACAGGCTGTGAGCGGGTGGGGCAGAAATGTGGGAGGCGGAGGTGGAAAGTAAGAAAGGGGTGGAGAGGGAGGAATGAGAAGGGAAGGAAGGCGGCCCCGAGGGGTGGAGGATGATGGAAGCAGTGGGTGTTTACTCACGGCTTGTGAACGATAGGCAGAAGCTGACCGGGGCATGTTGAGAGCATGATTGAGAGCATGGCTGAGAGCATGGCTGGGAGCATGGCTGAGAGCATGGCTGAGAGCATGGCTGGGAGCATGGCTGAGAGCATGGTCGGGTGCATGGCCGAGAGCATGGCTGAGAGCTTGGCTGGGGAGCATGGCTGAGAGCATGGCTGAGAGCATGGCTGAGAGCATGGCTGAGAGCATGGCTGAGAGCATTGCTGAGAGCATGGCTGAGAGCATGGCTGAGAGCATGGCTGGGAGCATGGCTGAGAGCATGGTCGGGTGCATGGCCGAGAGCATGGCTGAGAGCTTGGCTGGGAGCATGGATGAGTGCATATCTGAGTGCATGGCTGAGAGCATGGCTGAGAGCATGGCTGGGAGCATGGCTGAGAGCATGGCTGAGAGCATGGCTGAGAGCATGGCTGAGAGCATGGCTGAGAGCATGGCTCAGAGCATGGCTAGGAGAATGGCTGGGAGCATGGCTGAGAGCATGGCTGAGAGCATGGCTGAGAGCATGGCTGAGAGCATGGCTGGGAGCATGGCTGAGAGCATGGTTGAGAGCACGGCTGGGAGCATGGCTGAGAGCATGGCTGGGAGCATGGCTGAGAGCATGGCTGAGAGCATGGCTGGGAGCATGGCTGAGAGCATGGCTGAGAGCTTGGCTGGGAGCATGGCTGAGAGGATGGTTGAGAGCATGGCTGAGAGCATGGCTGAGAGCATGGCTGAGAGCATGGTTGAGAGCATGGCTGAGAGCATGGATGAGTGCATGGCTGAGTGCATGGCTGGGTGCATGGCTGAGAGCATGGCTGAGAGCATGGATGAGTGCATGGCTGAGTGCATGGCTGGGTGCATGGCTGAGAGCATGGCCGAGAAAATGTGCATCACCTGATAGCAAGAGAGCACAGCTGAGAGCATGTGAAGATACCTGAAAGCATGAGAGCCAGCAGTGCAGCAAGCACGAGGCGAGAGGGTCGCGTCACAGCCACGCCGCTCTGCGAATGCGCAATGATCGTCCCTCTTTCAACTTTTGAGACGTCTCGAGAGGGTCGCGTCACAGGCACGCTCCGCGAACGCGCCATGATCGTGCCTCTTTCAAATCGGGCAAGACTGAGAAATATGCTAGTTGTATTGATGCGGAAATTTCAGACAGCAGCAGCAGCAACAGCGGTAGAGTAGTAAACTCAGGTGCAAGTGCAAGCAAGTTTAAGCAGGTAATGATATCGCTAGGAAATATAATATTTTGGGAGTAGCTTCAGATTCAGCGACTCAACGAATCAGCAATGGGAGTTAAAAAAGCCGTGAAAGTGGATACCTCCCAAGGTTAGGGTTAGGTATCCGAAGTAAGGGAACCATGGACGAGTAGTGCAGTGCAGACGGAACAGCACAGTCTTCTCGAGGGAAACTGAATCCGGCAGTTGCAATGACATGTTGGGGTTGACGGGCTACAAGCGTGGATCTCAAGAAACCCATTTCACGTAGCGACGATGACGATGACGGTAACGATCTCTCTGTTGCCGCCCGTTTTTTTGGCGCTAGAAACAGAAGGGTCGAACTGAAGGAATATGTTAGAGAGCGTAGCGATAACGAGAGAGTTTCTGCTATGAGAATGATGTTGCGTCAGCAACTTGGTAGAGTTTCGGTAGAGTTTGCCTCTAAGGACTTAGTGAGGATTGAAGTAGCATTTGGGCCAAGTAGAATTGCAATATCAATTATGAATACAAAAGCAAACACACAACTAGATATAGGCTACGGGAAGGTTTCACAAAGTTGGCGTGGCACTGCGCAGTAACCCAACCCCACGAAAGTGGTGTGTGGGTGAGCGAACGCGCCTCGTCAACTTCCCAACCCAACTCAGCAGGGAAGTCAATGCCGAGCTCGCCAATTCTCCCAGCACAACTAGAAATGGCGAGACTCACAGAGAATCACCCACAACCACCAAGACCACCCAAGAAGCATGCCCACGATTTCCCTAGACTAACACCACCCCAGCAATGACTGTTTAGTGCTGCCGTTGTCACATCGCGTCACTACGCAACCATCGCCAAATCATAGGGTCGGTGCTGGATTGCTCATCTTGGTCTTTCATAGTCGATCTGCCAAGTCAAACGGTCGTCGAGGGCCCTTGCTGTCGTAGGGCCCTCTAACACGAATTAAGACTGGTGTAGGCAGAAACTGGAACTGGCTTCAAGCAGAAACACCCGCCATGCAGCAGTTCAACCTGTCAGGACTAGGGGGTATCACGTGAAGGTGACGTATGACGTGGTTCAGGTAATACTGTACAGTACTACGTATGGCTCAGCTACACCGTCTCTCTCACGGTTTCGACGACCCAACAGACAAACGAGTTTCGTGATGTCAGAGATGTTTGTACAGCGGATGCTGCTACATTTAGAACACAAGAACGCTGTCATGCGTACAGTCGCCGTCAAACAAGTCCTTTTCCTAGAGCCAAGGCAACCGTTGGAAGGATGTGGAGGAAACCGTCCCGCTTGACTATTTTTGACGGACAAAGAAACCAGTCGGGTCGGGAAACGTCGATGCGCGAAGTTATGCCAAAATTTCTGTATCTGACAATCCCCAACCAGGTATCGGCACCCACTCTCGCATTGGCCAAGCAAGCAGACCAGCCCGCATGCTTCGCTGGTTCAATGCAACCCTTCGATACAGAAGTCCCGAGACACCGTGACGGTCGATTTTCTGACGAATTCTCGTTGCAGCTCGATTGCCGCGTCGCCACGCCATATCTGAGATATTTTCAAAATGGCTCCACCCACACACCACCCGCCCACACCACCCTTCTTCCAGGCTTCCTGTGCCTACCCGTCCGCCAAATCACATCGTTCCTTCCACTGGTGAGCGTCTCATCCCAATTCGTTAATTTCTCCAAACCCTACTCAAACGTTCTATAACGCAAAATAATCGGTCACCAAACCGCATTATTCTGGACACCCCCTTACTAATCCCACTCCCTCGTCATAAAATCAATAACTCACTCCATCTGCTCTGTCAGTTACACAAGCAGTTTCTTTCACACGATTTTTCACTCCTTGCTGTCGCCTGTTGGGACCGACCTAGGCAGAGCTGTTTTATCATGACAAGCCGGGAGAGTGTGTACGGAACGGAGACTGTACATATACTGTGGCATTATTGTCTTGTAGTAAGAAATGTAGCATTTCGCCAGCAATGTCACCGGGTCGGGGATGTTGTTTGTGCGTCTCAGTACGCATGCTGGAGCCCATGGCCTTGCCTGTGGATTCACCAATCCGAAACCCAAACGCAAACCCATGCAAGAAAGTTATTATCAGCCACGTGTCATCCCAGACGATGACTGGGTCAAAGTCACCCCCTTCAATTCATAAATCCCTCGCTGACGACATTCGTTGTGCAAATGCCAGCATCGCAGACAATCAGGTCTTCTTGAAATCGAACCGGACTGGTCGGCTGGTTCCACTGCCTCGGCTTTGCAGCCTTGGTTCTGTTTACGCCGGGAGAAGCCATCAAGCAACACAGAGAAAGTCATGACTCCCATGAACTTGATGCTGATAGATAATTTTTGCGGACTATGTCCTCTTTGTCATGCGTTCCTTCATCAACCAGCCGGCTACTGCACTCATGTCCTAGCTGCAGTATCTTGGCTCAGACAATCGCGACACCCTTCGGGAGCACTTTCTGCTTGGGTGTTCTGCTTCATTCAATAAAGAAAACTCTGGTTTCTAGAGGATTTGTCTTTCCCCAGAGAGATTTCTACCCTCTTACCTGCCAAACAGACTGTTTACTTCCCGCTGACGCCATTCCCGTTGCCGCGGCGCTTCGAGGAGACATCAAGGCATGGCACGACGCTTGAGTCTCCTGCTCGCTGCACTGGCTGCTCTCATGCTCTCAGGTATGCTCTCATGCTCTCAGATATGCTTTCATGCTCTCAGGTATGCTCTCCTGCTCTCAGGTATGCTCTCAGGTATGCTCTCACGTATGCTCTCAGGTATGCTCTCAGGTGTGCTCTCATGCCCTCAGGTATGCTCTCGTGCTATCAGATCTGCTCTCATCCTCTCAGGTGTGCGCTTTCAGTCTCGGACATGCCATGTTCAATTGGCTGAAGTGTAAAGAGCGACAAACTATCACGGGACTGACAAGCATGAAGCTTCTCCTACTCCAACAATCTTAATCTCCTCGTGTGACACCTTGTTGGTCACTGCCATTTGCAACCTCAGCTCAGAGGCTTTCACCTCAACATTCCCGTTCCCCCTTCTCTTTCTTTCCACCTTCTCCCTTTTCCCCTCCCCCCTTTCCCTCCCCTTGGCCTCTTTCGTGCAGCTTGTGCATTTAAAGTTCCCCCACTTGAGCCTTCCGTTCCTTCCCCCTCATCCCATCCTCTTTCCTCTCGTTCCTGCCCTCCTCCCCACTCCCCCTTTCTCCCACCCATCCGCTCTCAGCCTCTGCGCCCATTGCATTCTTTCCTCCCACACCTCTTCCCCACCCCACCCCCCCCCCTGCTGCTGTTCGTCTGCCAGATGCGAGCAAGGCTGCTGACCGTAAGTCAGCCGCCTGCAGTTACCCCTACTAGGGCCTGAACCGCTCACATTCCTCCCCGCTCCCTCCCACCCATCCCCCGCTCTCAGCCTGTGCGCCCAGGGCTGCTGCTGTTCGTCTGCCAGATGCGAGCAAGGCTGCCGACCGTAAGTCAGCAGCCCGTACTTACCCCTACTAGGGCCTGAACCGCAACACTTAGGGCCTGCTGAAACGCACTATTGCCCGTCCCTTTGCCTTCAAACCCTGATGGGAGCGATGCTTGACACCTGTTGCGCTCTTTTTATTAAACCTGTCAACTCGCAATACCCTTCTCCCCCTTCTCAGCCTGTTCCACTCCTCACTCCGTTTCCTCTCCTCGCCCCGTTTTCCTCTCCTCTTCCGCGTTTCCTCTCCTCGCCCCGTTTTGCTCTCCTCGCCCCGTTTTCCACTCCTCGCCCCGTTTTCCTCTCCTCTCCCCGTTTTCCTCTCCTCGCCCCGTTTTCCTCTCGCCCCGTTTTCCTCTCCTCTCCCCGTTTTCCACTCCTCGCCCCGTTTTCCTCTCCTCTCCCCGTCTTCCTCTCCTCGCCCCGTTTTCCTCTCCTCTCTGCCTCCTCTCTCCCTTGCTGGTCCCTGCGAATAACATGTGGAACAGACTCTTGTGTGCAGAGGAAGTGTGGCGCCAATGCGATTTGCGTGAAGGAGAGGGGCGACGCCAAATGCATCTGCAACGCTGGATTCTCCATGACCCCCACCGGCTGTGTTGGTGCTGGTGTGTGCTGCTTGCTAGAATGGTGGTGGTCGAGTGCTGCTGTGGTGTTTGGAGATAGTAATACCTGTAGTTTGAGTTGGGGTGACGGGGGGTTATTTGTCCCTCGGTGTTATTTGCGGACATTACTGCAATGGCTTGTCCGTGGAATGTTGAGGTGTCTCAAAAGTTATTTGTCCCTCGGTGTAATTCGCGCACGTTAGAATGAGTCTTGCATGAATCGAATGCATTCCTTGATTGTGCCAGAAGCCCTGTTTTGACGAACCGGGTGTCAGGAGTCTTGTCAGGTGGCAGGAGCCCTGTCAGGTGGAAGGAGTCCTGTCAGGTGGAAGGAGTCCTGTCAGGTGGAAGGAGTCCTGTCAGGTGGAAGGAGCCCTGTCAGGTGGAAGGAGCCCTGTCAGGTGGAAGGAGTCCTGTCAGGTGGAAGGAGCCCTGTCAGGTGGCGGAAGCGCTTACAGCTTCATCTGCTGTTTTTTTTAGCCTGTCATGTGTAAAGTAATTTCTTTCATTCGTTGCTCTTAATCTCCCCTCACTCGCCCACCTCCCTCCCCTCTGCTCCCATTCCCCAGACATATGCGCGCTCAAGGCGTGTGGCGTCAACGGCAAGTGCATCAAGGACAGAGCTGGAGTGGCGTCCTGTGTCTGCCAGCCTGGCTTTGTGCTGCAGGCTGACAAGACTACATGCACTGGTGCGTATGTGCTGATGTGTGCTTGCAAGAAGGTGACATGCACTGGTAGATGCTGCCCTGTGCTTTGCTTTGTACATGCTGCGTGCTGCTGTATGCTGCTGCGTGCTTTGCCTTGTGTACATGATTCGTGATAAGAAGGCATGCACTGGTAGGTGATGGCATGCGTCCACAGAAGGGCATGCGCTGGTTCGTACGTGCTGCTGCATGCGTACAAGAAGACAGCAAAATACTCTCCCGCGCACTATTTCAGCAGCATGTGTCAGTGCCACACATCCCATGCCCTTCACACTTTGTGTTCCTTCACACTTTCTTAGCAGACACATGTGTGCTGCAGAGGTGTGGGAGTAACGCCAAGTGCGTGAAGAGCGCTGCAGGAGTGGCGTCCTGTGTGTGTGACACTGGCTTCGTGCTGCAGCCTGATGGCATCACATGTACTGGTATGTGCTGTGCCTTGGACGATGGTATGTGTTCTGCCATGTGCCCCATGTGCCACAGTGGGATGAACGTAGAAAGTCCCATGCACCTGTAACGCCTGTCATGCACCTGAAACAGATTAGATGGAAGAGTCACGCCTGCCATGTACTGTGCTTGACTGATGCACCATTCCCAACTCTTGGCAGCTTAATTGACCCCCCCGCCCACACCTCCCTCTGCTCCCCTTTCTCTCCTCCCGTCTCTCGCCTCTTGCCCTTCCCCCTCGCTCGCCCCAGACACATGCTCTCTCAAGGCGTGTGGAGGCAACGCCACATGCACCAAGGACAGCGCTGGAGTGGCGTCCTGTGTTTGTAACTCTGGATTTGTGCTGCAGGCGGATGGCACCACATGCACTGGTATGTGTGTGGTACTGTGTGCGTGTGCATGTTTCTGCTGCAACGTGTGCGATCTATGAGAATGGCATGCGCTGCTGAGATCTTTAGGGATCACTTGTAAGGGATTAATTCCACTGTTTACATAATACATTTCCTCACTCTGTCTCTCCCCCTCGCAGACACATGTGCGTTCAAGGCCTGTAGTAGTGGGAACGGCCGGTGCATCAAGGACGCCACTACTGGAGCGGCGTCCTGTGTGTGTGACACTGGCTTTGCGTTGCTGGCGGATGGCAGGACGTGCGCAGGTGCGTGATGTGCGCTTATGCTTGTGCTTATGATTGCGTTTAGACCTGCATGTGTATATTTGGGCTTTGGATTGACCTGCATGTGCATGCTGTGCTGATGGCGTGTGCATGATCACTGACAAATCAGAAATGAGTTGTTGTTTTCATTTACGCTCTTCTCTTCCTCCTTTCTCCCCTCCCAGACACATGCACAATCAAGGCATGTAGAGGGAACGGGCAGTGCGTCAAGAACAGCACTACTGGAGTGGCATCCTGTGTGTGTGACACTGGTTTTGAGCTGGAGGCGGATGGCAGGACGTGCGCTGGTGCGTGCTGGGCTCAGCATGTTTACGCTTGTGCTAGTATGCGCCTCGGCTTGTGTGTGCTACTTTGTGCTTGCGCTAGTCTGCGCTGTGCTAATGGCATGTGCATGATTGCTGACAAATCAGAAACGAGTTCAGCTGTTTACATGTTCTCGTCCCACTCCCTCTCTCATCGCAGATACATGTACACTCAAAGGCTGTGGGAGCAATGGCACGTGCATCAAGAACAGCGCTACTGGAGTGGCCTCCTGTGTGTGTGACACTGGCTTCGTGCTGCAGGCGGATGGCAGGACGTGCACTGGTAGGTGCTGCTGTGCTATGTGACAGCCTATGGCTGCTGTATGCATTCTATGCCTGCTCATGGATGGGTGCTTCTAAGCGCTGCAGCCTGATGGCAGGACGTGCACCAGTAGGTGCTGTGCTTTGTGACTCCCTTAAGGCTGCTGTATTCTGAGGGATGGGTGCTTATAAGTTCTGTGTTCGCCTCGCGAGTCGCCATGTTCTGCTTGCAATAGCTCATGTGTCTGACTTGTTCGTTTCGTTCCTCTCCCTCCCTCCATCCCTCCTCCATCCCTCCTGTTATAGTCACAATAGGCTTGAATGTGCCTAAAACGAAAGATAGAGAGCACAGACGGATTTCTGCACAGCGGCTTCAAACGTTGATAGCGTTCTGCTCACAGCTGCAAATGACTTGATTCAAATTGGATCTGGAGCGTCTTCACGTCGTCTACAATTAGCAATTTAGATTGCACGATTTGATAAAGAATTGACGACACAGCGTCGGTTTGAACGAACGGTACTATGGCAGCCACTATAGTCTTAGAACACAAGATAGGAAGAGTTACGAGTTGGGAATGACTCCCAGCTCCTACAAACCCCAAGAGCCGAGGTACAGTGATGTGGAACAGTGCCACACTGTCCCCAACCACGAAAGGTCTCGAAACTACCCTTCACTAGGGCCTACACCAAGTGAAATGTTACACTACACAAAGTAATGTAACTATCTTCAATATCTTGAGGTGTACCCTTTTGGCAAGCTTCGAAATCACTTGAGGCTTGACACCAAGGCTCGGGCTCTTCATCACAAACTCATCCTTGAGTTCTTGATGGGTCTGCTGCACACACCTGCGACACGCCGAACGTTCGACACAGGACAAAATAGAAACCGCGCACGACAAAATAGAAACCGCGCGCGAGACACAAACGACCGCGTAACACGCGTCTAGCGATAACTCGCTATTGACTCGACACACACACTCGACATCATGACTCAACATTCACACACAATTATAAGCATGAAATATATATTATCCCATGCCCTCATACCATTCCATACACACACACATTCACGCACACGGACAACAAGCCGAGTGCAAACCGTAGGGTTGCACCAACAAACTCCCCCTCGGATTGTTGGCCTTAGGATATGTTGCTCTCTCAGTTCAGAGCCATCCCAGCCAGCTTGCAACACTTCCAATGCTGCTGCTCCACCAGCCTCTTGGTCATCATGTCAGCCGGCTGCCCCGTGGTCTTCACGTAGCGCAACTCAACTTCACCCGCGGTTACCATGCTCCTCGTCCAATGCCACTTCACCCTCATGTGCTTCGTGAGTCCATGCAACACAGGGTTCTTAGCAAGAGCAATGGCACCTTGGCTGTCACAGTACAGTGGGGTAGGTCCTTGCTGCTCCTCCCCCAATTCAGCCAACAAACGCCGCTGCCACACAATCTCCCGTACGGCACGGAAGAGTGCCATGTACTCGGACTCCACCGAGCTCAAAGCTTGGTCAACCTGCTTCTTGCTCTCCCAAGCAGTTGGGCCTCCACCAACACAGCATATGAAGCCTCCCACACTTGTCATGTCCTCTGGTTCTGATGCATATGAAGCATCCGAGTAGGCGGTGAGGAACAAACGCCCGGGTTCAACACCATCCGCGCCCTTTTGGCGCCTTTGTGCCGCCGCCGAGTATTGCAGCCCAACGGTCGGTGTTTGGCCAAGATACTTGGCCACCCTCATTCCAGCTGCTACCTGCTCCTCATTAGGGCATTGCACAACCCTAGCCAGCTGCCCGGTAGCAAACGCGACGTCCGGTCGGGTGTTTACCGCCGCATACATGAGGCTGCCCACCAACGAGTGAAATCGGCGCCTCTCCTCTTCACCAACGCTCTCCTCCTCTGGTCCCTTCACACACTTGAACCCAGAGGGAAAGGGTGTAGCCACATGGCCTTCACTCTGCCCAAAGTTGGCAGCCAATGCCTCCAGGTACTTTCGTTGATGCACCCGCATGCACCGCTTCTCCACATCTCGTTCGATGTGGAGCCCAAGGTAGAAGCTCACGTCACCAAGGGCCTTGCACTTGAACTTGTCTTGAAGCTTCAGCATCACCTCCTTCACAAGGTCAGAAGAGGGTGAGAAAATGAGGATGTCATCCACATAAACCACCATGAAACTCCTCTGCTCCCCCTCGCCAAGCATGAACAAGGAGTGATCGGCCGTTGAGGGAGTGAAGCCGATCCCCTCCAACACTTCGCGCAGCTTCATGTACCATTGCCTAGGGGCCTGCTTCAGCCCATAGAGGGCCTTCTTCAGCTTCCACACTCTGCCACTACCATCATCAAACCCCTCTGGCTGCGCCATAAAAATCTCCTCCTCAAGGATGCCGTTAAGGAATGCCGTTACGATGTCCATTTGCTTTACTACCCATCCTTTGATGGCGGCTCCCGCGAATAGGGTTCGCAGCGTCGTCGGCTTCACCACAGGGGCAAACAGCTCCTTGAAGTCCACCTTCTCCTTCTGCTGGTACCCCTTGGCTACAAGCCTAGACTTGTAGCGCTCGATCTTGCCGTCGGCATCCGACTTGATTTTGAAGAGCCACTTGGACGTTATCGCCGTACGCCCCTCCGGTAGCTCCACCAATTCAAACGTGTCATTCTCCTCGATGCTCTTCAGCTCACTCTCCATGGCCTTCTTCCACTCCTCAGCATCACTACTCTCCAAAGCCTCCTTGAGAGTTGCTGGTTCTCCCGGCATCTCCACCGGAGAGAAGAACGCGAAGGCACACTCCTCGTAGTCACTCTCCTCGTCGTCTCCGACCATCATTGCCGCTCCGGCCAGGGCTGTCTTGCCCTGCTTTCCCGGCGCATCATAGGTCAGCCTATTAGGGGGTTGAACTCTCCTCTTCCCCCTTCCTTCCTCCTCAGCTGCAGGGACATGAAGGCCTTGGCGTTGCTGCGGTGTGGCTCGAATCCGTGGAGCACTCGTAGTACGGGAAGGGAGTGACGGTGCACGCTCGCTCACTTGCTGCACCTCCTCCTCTTCTTCCTCTGCATCATTGGCCTCCTCTCCCCCATTCACAAGGGAGGATTGCCTTGTGGTTGTGCTGCCGCTGCTCAGCTCCAAAGGCAGCTCCACATGCTCCAAACCGGAACTCTTCACCTCCCCAAACCGCACGCCTATCTTCGCCTCATTCTCCGCCTTCCAATCCTTGTACATGAAGTTCTCCACGAACTTGCAGTCCCTGCTCACCAAGAACTTCTTGGTGAATGGGTCCCAAAGAAGCCATCCCTTGCTGTTTTGAGCCATGCCCAAGTGCACGGCCCACACCGCCTTGGCACCAAGCTTGTTGTGCCGAAGATGCTTAGGCACGAGCGCCATGCACATGCACCCGAACACCCGAAGCATATCCACCTTTGGCTTCCTTCCTAGCCACTCCACATAGGGCACCCATTTGTCTGCTCCCACATGAGTCAAGGCTCTGTTCTTGGCCACACACGTGCTCCGCACCGCATCAGGCCAGAAATAGTCGGGTAGCCCGGCTTCAATGAGCAACCCGCGTGCCGCCTCCGTGATTGTGCGATTCGCTCGCTCGGCGATGCCGTTCATCGCAGGGGAGTATGGCATGGTGCGGGAGTGCCGAATACCATTCTTCTTCAGCCACAACCCAAACTCCTTGCTCAGGAACTCTCCCCCTCGATCGGTGCGGATTGACTTGACTAGACGGTCTTGTTGCCGCTCCACCATCGGGAACCAATCCGTCTTCAACGTTTCAGCCACGTCGCTCTTCTTGGCCAGCACGTACACCCAAGTCATGCGGGTGTAGACGTCGACAATGGTGAGAAAATACTCAGCTCCAGCAGCTCCAAGCTTCAGGGGGCCCACCACGTCCATCACCACCTCATCAAGCGGTGCCTTTGCCGTTGCCTCCGAACTAGGGAACGGAAACCGGGTGAACTTGGCTTGAATGCACGTCGGGCAGCCAAGCACCTCATCGGGCTCCCCCTTCACACGTATGCCAGCAACCATCTCATTCTTCACTAGCTGCTGCAAGATGGGCAGGGCCACATGCCCCATGCGCCGATGCAAGGTGAGCCAATCACACTCCCCCGTAGCCGAAGTTGGATTGGCGAATGCCGCGCTCGCAATAGCGCCCCACATACTCTCTCCGTAGTCCTCCTCCGCTGCTGCCTCTGGGTTCTCCTCACCCTTTTGCTGCTCCTTGGTTGCTGCACCACTCTCCTTAGGTTCACTGAACTTGCTGGTCCCTCCAGGTTTGCTCTTCTTGAGCTCATTCTCCTTAGCGCGACCGTTCGCGCCATCGTCGCTACCGACCGCTCCATCCTTGGTGCTGATGCTTGCTGCCACTTGCCTCTCCTTAGGCATAGGGACCACTGGGATCTGCCACATCTCGTTGTAGACATCCCTGTCCTCATGAAGGTCCCAAAGAATTCGATCGCCAAGCCTTGCGGTGTAGGTCTTGGCTCCCTTCGAGTTCGTGTCCATGCCGGCCTTTGCCAACCGCCGCACGGAAATCAGGTTTGCAGCAAGGCTGGGCACCCAAAGCACGTTCTTGAGGCCCACCATCTTCCCATCAGCACCCTTGAACATGGCCTTGCCCATGCCTTTCACCTCTGCTCGCTGCCCCAAAGCCGATGTGACATGCTTCACCGGTGACGGCTCGAGTTCGGTGAGCAAGTCCGGGCGAGGTGTCATGCTATAGGTAGCGCCACTATCAATCACCCAATAGTCCAGGGGGTGTAGGGTCACCTTCCCCACAGCTGCTGGCTCCTCAAAGCCTTCATCCTTCTCTGGACCAGCCGGTACTTGCGTCGACACGAAGTAGAATAGACCCGGGTATCGATCGTCGCTCGGGTCCTTGTCGTTGTCTCCGCTCTTCATGTTTGCAGCTCCGCCACCGCGACCGCCATGGCCTCCACGGCCTCGTCCTCTCCCTCCTCCTGCTCCTCTACCCTCTTGGCCTTGAGCAGGGGTCCAACCATCAGTGAGTTTGTAGCAGTCGCGCCACATGTGTCCGCTCTTGTGGCAATAGTGACACTCGCCGTCGAATCGGCCGCGACCGCGTCCGTAGCTCTTGTCGTCGCTGCCGTAACCGCCACTCCTGCGGCCTCCGCCGAAGTTGCTGCCACCAAACCTTCCTCCCCCTCGTCCTCTGCCTCTTCCTCGACCATATCCACGGCCGATGCTCGCTGCCCCAGCGCCATCCGCACTCGCCAACTCACGGCGGCGGAAATCCTCTTGAAGGATAGCTCGCTTCACGTCTTCAAGCGAGAGGCGGGGCAAGTCGCGATTAAGGTTGATGATGAGCGAGAACCATGACTCTGGGAGTAAGGCCAGCAACTTGGTCTTCTTTTGGAGCTCACTGTAGTTCAAATCAGCTCCCTCAAGCCGCGTCAACAAGTCGAAGAATTTCTGCACCCCTTCTTCAACCGCTTCGTCTTCTTCAATTCGAAGTGCCGCCATTTGCCGTTCCAACACCACCGCTACCGCCGCTGTTGCAGGAGCATGTACACCCTTGAGAGCAGCCCATGCCTTTGGTCCTTTCTCTGGTTCACGCTGGAATGGCTTGACGTGACGGATCTGACTGCTCCCCAACGCTTGCCCAAGTAAGAGATAGCCTTGTGCGCTCTTCCGCACCCACGGGCTCTTCTCCGGGTCGTTCTCGGGGCGCTTCTCCGTTCCTTCCATCACCTCCAGCAGGTCATAGTGGTCAAAGATGTTCTCCATCTTGAAGGACCATTCAGCAAAGTTGTCACCGTTGAACTTGTCAAGCCCAAACACCCTAGGCTCATCCCTAGGTGGGCCAAGACTTGGTTGCATGGGCGCCATGGCTGAATCACGGGGTTGGCCTTGAGCTTGAGCTTCTCCACTGCCACCAGCACCTCTGCCACCCCTTTCCTCAGGTCCAGACATTGTCGAAACTGCTCCAAGGGGCTCTGATACCACTTGTTATAGTCACAATAGGCTTGAATGTGCCTAAAACGAAAGATAGAGAGCACAGACGGATTTCTGCACAGCGGCTTCAAACGTTGATAGCGTTCTGCTCACAGCTGCAAATGACTTGATTCAAATTGGATCTGGAGCGTCTTCACGTCGTCTACAATTAGCAATTTAGATTGCACGATTTGATAAAGAATTGAAGACACAGCGTTGGTTTGAACGAACGGTACTATGGCAGCCACTATAGTCTTAGAACACAAGATAGGAAGAGTTACGAGTTGGGAATGACTCCCAGCTCCTACAAACCCCAAGAGCCGAGGTACAGTGATGTGGAACAGTGCCACACTGTCCCCAACCACGAAGTGTCTCGAAACTACCCTTCACTAGGGCCTACACCAAGTGAAATGTTACACTACACAAAGTAATGTAACTATCTTCAATATCTTGAGGTGTACCCTTTTGGCAAGCTTCGAAATCACTTGAAGCTTGACACCAAGGCTCGGGCTCTTCATCACAAACTCATCCTTGAGTTCTTGATGGGTCTGCTGCACACACCTGCGACACGCCGAACGTTCGACACAGGACAAAATAGAAACCGCGCACGACAAAATAGAAACCGCGCGCGAGACACAAACGACCGCGTAACACGCGTCTAGCGATAACTCGCTATTGACTCGACACACACACTCGACATCATGACTCAACATTCACACACAATTATAAGCATGAAATATATATTATCCCATGCCCTCATACCATTCCATACACACACACATTCACGCACACGGACAACAAGCCGAGTGCAAACTGTAGGGTTGCACCAACACCTCCTCCATCCCTCCTCCATCCCTCCTTCATCCCTCCTCCATCCCTCCTCTATCCCTCCTCCATCCCTCCTCCATCCCTCCTCCATCCCGCCTCCAGATACCTGTGTCATCAAGGGCTGTAATGCTGTAGTCACGGATTGCGTGAAGGACGCTGCAGGCGCCGCCTCCTGTGTCTGCAAGACGGGTTACCAGAACATATCGGGCACGTGCATGGGTACGTTCGTCTACTCTAGTGGCCTGGTTTCAGACTGATGGCAGGACGTGCATTGGTACAAGACAGGCTACGAGAACATATCGAGCACGTGCATGCCACATTCGTCCACTGCCCTGGTTTTGCGCTGCTGCAGCCCGATGCGGGCATGCACTGGCACGTGCTGTGCTATTAGAGTATGCCGAATCCTCCTATACATTGACCTGCAATAATTCCGACCACTGCCCTGAACCATATATTTCACTAACGAGGAAGGAAGTGCCATGGGGCAAAAGAGCGGCTTTGTTCAGCCAAGGATGAACCGGTTCGTTCTGACCGACCAGGGGCGGATCAGATCACGAATCCGCTTCTGCCAGTCTGTTTTGACAGGACCGGAGTGCAGGGCACACTCTGATTCTGCGAGTCCAAACGTGCTAGTTCAATTCTGTGGGAGCTTAGTACTCTCTTGGTGTTTTGCAGGTTGCTGCTGGCAGTGCTCCTGCTGCTGCTTTCAATGACGCACCTCATACTGCATGCATGCATGCATTCATGCATGCACCATGTCTCACTCCGTGTGGTCCCTTCTCCCTCACCACCACAGGGCCTGCCTCGTGCGGGGTGTGCCCTGCAGAGGCCACCTGCACAGTGCTGCCATACAGCAAAGCACCCTACTGCACCCTACTGCACCAGACTGCATCGTATCTTACTCTGCATCGTATCTTACTCTGCATCGTATCTTACTCTGCATCGTATCTTACTCTGCATCGTATGCTCTTCTCTCTCTCACAACCACAGGGCCTGCCTCGTGTGGGGTCTGCCCTGCAGGAGCCAGCTGCACTGTTGTGCCGTACACCAAAGCCGCTTACTGCGCCTGCCCTCTGGGCTATGGCATGACTGCTGCTGGCTGCGTGCTCGGTATGTCCGCAGGTTAGGAGCTAGCTACCACCATGTTACCACTGGTTTCCTTCTTTGAGGCACCTCAAAGCCCCCGACTGCCTCTGCCCTCCTGGCTATGGCATTGCCACTGCTGGTTGCATGCTAGGTGGGTATACCCTTGCTGCTCGCACATTATATGTTACCCATCCAATGGCATCTGATTTAGAGGCCCCGCAAAGCCCCTTACTGCCTCGTCCTTCCCGGCTATGGCATGACCGCTGCTGGGTGCGTGCTAGGTGAATATGCCCTTGCTTCCCGCGTTCTAGGTGTAACCACTTCACAGGTATCTGTTTTCTAAGGCCCCTCAAAGCTACCGCATGACCGTCACTGGGTGCGTCCTATGTGGGTATGCCCTAGCTGCCTAGCTTCCCGAATCCTCGGTTTACCTCTCCACTGGTCCGGCCACTGGTCTGGCCACCTATAAGTCACTGGTTGCGTCTTAGAAACCTTCCTCTTGCTGGCATGGTATGACGCGGGAAGGCACCGCCTTCCATCTTTCCCTGCCTGCCTCGTACCCCTGGTTGTCATTTCCTTCCCTGTCCCTGCCCGGACCTTCAATTAAGCTTCCCCCTTCAACACTCTTCCAAGCATTGGCATGGCGTCCCAACAACCTATACCAGTGTCACCTGCAAAGGTGCCTGAACAACGGTGCCGGTGGCTTTTGATTTGACTCAAAACTCGCCTGTCTTCTTCCCATGCCCTGCCAGGCGCCACCCCCACCGTCTCTTCCTCCAGATTCACCTTCTACATGCTCCCAACCGTTGGCAAATAGCTCATAGGGCGAGTTACAGCTTTACAATGGACATCCGTGACGTTCCACCTCCCTTTTTTCCCTTCCTCTTCTTTTTCCCCTTCCAGGCGCCACCCCCACCGTCTCCTCAACCAGCTTCTCCTTCTACATGCTCCCGAGCTTCGGCATAACCCCCACCGCCTACACCATGCGCCTCGCCTACAACGGCTGCACCAACCTCACAGCATCAACCGCTGCAGACATCAAGTCCTACTGCGACGTGGAGCGGGCAGCTGGGGGCGTGGGAGATTGCACTGAGGTCCGCCAGTACTACCAGCCGGGGTGCATTGGAGCATACAGCTTATTTCCTGTCACGCAAGGGACCGGCGTCAGCACTTCAAGTACTTCGTGAGTAGTTTTGACCAACCATCGTTTCATTTGTGACCTCTCTCCCTCTCTCTCTTGCTCTCCCTCTCGCTCTCCCTCTATGAAGCCTGTTTCCTTTCACGCTCAGGACCGGCATCAGCACTGGGAGTATTCCTTGAGTTTCTAAACCTAATTACCTACCTAGTGCATGGCACCTCTCTACCTTACCTCCCTTTCCCTCTAGCTTTATCTCTCCCTTCTCCCTTTCCCTCTAGCCTTACCCCTCCCTTCTCCAAGCTTAACCTCTCCCTTTACCTCCTCCCTTCCGTCTCCCTCTTCCTCTCCTCTTTCTCTTGCATGCACTCCTTTTCCCCATAACCCGTCTTGCTGAGCGTGACTCTCGTCTCTGCATTTCTACAAGTAACAACAACAACCCCTTTGTATTCTTTAACCTGCACTGGTATCGGTGCCTGGTTTGACACCCGTCCCTGGCACTCTGCATGCGTACGAGTGAAACATTTCACCTACCTGTGTGTTAGCTTTCCCATGGAACAGCATCTATCCCGTGTATCCTGTATGCTCTTTTAGCTGCATTGGAATCAGTGCCTGGTTTAACACCCCTCTCTCCATGTTTACTTGTTTACACCTGCATGTGTGTTTGCTTTCCCATGCAAACAGCAACTATCCCGGGTATCCTTTTCGCTCCTTCGCCTGCTCTATCACTGGTGAGCGCTTTTGTGTTGGTGAGTGCTGCTGTGTTGGTGAGTGACGCTGCTTGTGCGTTTCCATTGTTTCCTTCCCTCCCCCGTCTCGACCTCACGCTTCAGCTGTAAATTCACACACATAATGATTCATTTCTCTTTTGTGAAGTCACTTTTAATTCGCACTTCCTTTTGCAGGAGCTGCAGTTCTCAGCTGTTTCAAATTTCGCCTCCCACAATTCGCTTCCTTCATAGTGCAGAATTCATGCATAGATTGCAAAACGTGCAACCTTCCAACCAATCACTCCAACTCCCTATGCTCGCCAGCGAAGACTGCATATTCATCCAGCTGGTTTCTGAGAATTCTTAAAAACCAAATTGCATATCCATTCATACCTCAGCTCCCTTCCATTGAAAGTCGCTCACAAACTCCCTATGCTCACCTCACATCACTCACAGAGAAATGCGCGCCCAGCACCTGCGGTGGGAACGGCTCGTGCGTTCAGGACAGTGCAGGGGTGGCCTTCTGTGTTTGCAATGCTGGCTTTCTTCTGCAGCCTGACGCCAGGACGTGCGCTGGTATGTGCGCTGGTATGTGCGCTGGTATGTGTGCTGGCATGTGTGCTGGTATGCGTGCTGGTATGTGCGCTGGTATGTGTCCTGGTATGTGCTACTGTTGTGAGGTGGTCCCAGTCGTTGTGCTGGTTGACTGACGTGCAATAAAAAAAAAAAAAAAAAAAAAAAAAAAAAGAATCAATCAACTGGCATTTGGGTCACAGACCAGGGAGGTCTACTTAGTTGCTCGCTTTCTGAGAATTCGCAAAAACACCCTGCAACATCATGAAAAAATTATGCATTCAATTCAACTGGCATTTGAATCACAAGCCAGGGAGGTCTACATAGCTGCTCGCTTTCTTCTGCAGCCCAAGGCCAGGACCTGTGCCAGTATGCCTGCTTCTGCTGTGAGAATCCGCATGAGGATGGAGAACTGAGTAAACCAGGGAACCAGGGAACCAGGGAACCAGGGAGGCATACATTGTTGTGGAAAAGAGGAGAGGTTGGTTGTGGAAAAGCGGAGGGGTCCTGGCTGGGAGGCCCTCACCATCTCTGAATCTTGCTCCCTTCTTTCCTACCATTCATTCTCTTGCCCTGTTCTTCTATTCGCACCATTCCCCTCCCCCATGGTCTCCTCCCTCAGAGGCATGTGGGTCCAAGATCTGCGATCCCACGACTGACTGTGTGATTGACGCTGCAGGCGGTGCATCGTGTGTGTGCAAGGCGGGCTATCAGAGCATCTCCGGCGCTTGTGTTGGTACGTGCTAGTGCTGTCACCCCCTGAATAAGCCACTCATACTAATAACCTTTATGATTTCAGCCTGTCTAATAATAGGACCTCTGTGCTGCTCTCTGTGCTGCTCTCGGTGCTCCCGTGTGTGCCTCCCTCCGTGACTCATTGTTTCCATCTCATGCAAATGGCATCATGCCATGCTGTGCTGTTCCGTTCTGTGCTGTGCTGTGCTGCAATGAGCTGTGCGGCGTGGCGTATCGTGGAGTGCCATGCCGTGCCGTGCCGTGCCGTGCTGTGCTGTGCTGCACTGAGCTGTATCATGCTGTTCTGCGTTGTCCCCTGCTGCACCATGCTGTTGTCCTCTCCCACCCTCTTCCCCACCCCATCTCCCCAAGCCACCCACATGGTTGCTTTGTCGTTCCTTATCAAGATGTGTCGTGATGAGAAAATTTCTCCTTCTTCCTCATCCCCTCCCACTTCCCCATCCCTCCAGGCCCCGCCACATGTGGGAGCTGCCCTGCAGGGGCCACGTGCACTGTTGCTTTCGGCTTCGTTCCATATTGCATCTGCCCTCCCGGCTATGGCATGACCAGCACTGGCTGCATCAACGGTAAGCCCAATGCTACTTGCACCTCATCTCACTCTTTCCCCTCCCACCTCTTTACCTCAGAGGTTCTTCCATACTGCATCTGCCCTCGTGGCTATGCCATGACCAGCATTGGCTGCATCAGCGGAAAGCCCCGAGGCTGTTAGCATTCTAGGTATGGCAAAATGTTTGCTTGCAGCGTACGTAAGACCGAAGCTGCTCACAAACAACCCCACGTCATAGTTTTCCCTTCCAACCCTTCCTGCCACCTCTTGAATCCCCTTATGTTGTGTTTCCTTCAACTAGCAACAACCCCTGTCCTCTGCTTTTGCTATCGTCCCCCTCGCCTCTATCCCTTTTTCTACCAGCAACTCCATTTGCACTGCACCTCCCTCTCCTTTCATCTCCCCCATCTCCCCCATCTTCTATGACGTGCCCTTTTCCCCATTGCCCCCCCACCTTACCTCTTCTTCCTTATGATCCCCCCCACGCTCTGTGACCCCTTACCATGCTATGCTGTTTGCTCTGCGTGCCCTTGCCTCATCCTTTCCCCACCCTATTCGTGCCTCGTTTCATATCCCTCGAATCCCCTATCTACTCATGCCATTCTGCTCATGCCATACACCATGGCGGCGGCCCATGCCATGCTGCACTGCTCGCCCTTGCCCTTGCAGGCGCCACCCCCACCGTCTCCTCCACCAGCATCACCTTCTACGATCAGCCCATCTACACCATCACGCCCACCACCTTCACCATGCGCCTTGAATTCAACGCCTGCACCACCCTCCCTGCCTCGGCTGCCTCTAAAGTCTGGTCCACTTGGCGGCTAGACGGGGCTCCTGGAGGGTTGGGGGAGTGTGTGAGTTTGAATCAGTACGAGCAGGAGGGGTGCGTTGGAACGTACACATCGTCTCCCAGCGCTTCAGACGGAACCAGCATGACTGGCTTGGGTTTCACGTGAGTCTCGGGGTGGTGAGGAGTTTTTGATTTGGGGGAGTTTGTGAGTTTGAATCAGTATGAGCAGGAGGGGTGCGCTGGAACGTACACATCGTCTCCCAGCGCTTCAGACGGAACCAGGATGACTGGCTTGGGTTTCACGTGAGTCTCGGGGTTGTGAGGAGTTTTTGAGGAGTTGGGGGAGTTTGTGAGTTTGAATCAGTATGAGCAGGAGGGGTGCGCTGGAACGTAGACATCGTCTCCCAGCGCTTTGGACGGAACCAGCATGACCGGCTTGGGCTTCACGTGAGTCTGAAATCGCAACGAGTTTGCGAGTTTACATGCATGCGTAATGGCGCGCGCGCGCGCACACCCACACACACACATACACACACACACACATGCGAGTTTTGAGGCACCTCAAAAGTAAACACACGCACGCACGCACGCACGCACGCAAATACGTGCGTAACACGCACACCTGCACACCCAAGACACACCTGCACGCCCTCTCGTGATACGAGACACTGAAATTCACGCTGCTTCTTACCTTCAGCTGATTGCTCCCTCTAGTTCCTGTTCCCCCAGTCCACCCCTTTTTCCCTTGCATACCATCTCCCTCCAGTCTTCTGGTTAGTCACACACACTGGCACATAACCCATGGCCTTGCATCTTACTCACTCCAGTTTCTCTGCTGGCCATCCCCTCCCGCCCTCCTCATTTGCATACCACATCCCACTAGTTTTCTGGGTTGTGTGCAAACAGGCACATAACCATGACCCAGCTAATTGCTTTGCTCCCTCCAGTTTCTCCGCTTCCATCCCCCTCTCCCCCCCGTGTGCTATGCATTCCCCACCCCGTTTTGCTCGTTCCTCTTCTCCCACCCCTTCCATCCCCTGCATGCGTACATGCAACAGCAAGTATCCCGAGTATCCGTACCGCTCCTTTTTGAGATGTTTCAACCTCCCCCCCACCCCCACCCTGGGTGCAACGCATTCCCCACCCCATTTGTTCTCATCGCTGCATGCATACACAGAATGCAACAGCATGTATCTCTGGTATCCTTACTGCTCCCATTTGAGCTGTCTCAAAAGTCCTCCCCTTTGTGCCATGCATTCCCCACCCCATTTTTTCTCATCGCTGCATGCATACACGGAATGCAACAGCAAGTATCTCGGGTATCCTTACTGCTCTTTTTTGAGACGTTTTAAAAACTCTCACCAATCCATTCTCCACCCCCTTTGCTCTCATCTCTGTCATTGCTGCATGCACACATGCAACAGCAAGTATCTCGGGTACCCTTACCGCTCCTTCAGCTGCAATGGTATCGGTGAGTGCTGCTGTGGTGGTGAGTGCTGCTGTGCTGGTGAGTGCTGCTGTGCTGGTGAGTGCTGCTGTGCTGGTGAGTGCTGCTGTGCTGGTGAGTGCTGCTGTGCTGGTAAGTGCTGCTGTGCTGGAGAGTGCTGCTGTGGTGGTGGGTGCTGCTGTGGTGGTGGGTGCTGCTGTGTTGGTGAGTGCTGCTGTGTTGGTGAGTGCTGCTGTGTTGGTGAGTGCTGCTGTGTTGGTGAGCACTGCTGTGTTGGTGAGTGATGCTGTGTTGGTGGGTGCTGCTGTGTTGGTGGGTGCTGTTGTGTTGCCCCAAACCTAGCTAGTGTGTCCCTTCAATTTGCAGCCAGTCGACCATTCTTTTTTTCACGAATCCACCTCAATGCCTTCCTCTCCCCCTTTGCGTGCCATCTGTTACCCGCTTGCCTTCCTTCGATAGCCCACCCTTGTGCATATTCATCCCCCCCTGCCTTTCTTCCATACCCCCGTCAGTCCCATCCATTCCCTTGTTGAGTGTAAGTCTCTCCCCGACCTTTACCCTTTTGCGTTCCTTTCATTCCTCCCCTTGCGAATCTACATCAGGACCCCTCATCTACCTCATAACCCCTCATCTACCTCTCCTTGACCTCGCTTGTCCATTTCTGCTCACTTTTTATTGCTCTGACATTTGGGTTCCCCTTGCAGCTGGTAATCCGTAGGAAGACTCACAAAAGCGTTGGATCTCATCACAAGTAGAGATATTCCACAGAAGAAGTGGGTGTGCAGGGCATGGCTTTCAGGGCTTTCCGAGACGCGGTCGATGTGATATGAGGAGGAGATAGTGGGACTATAGGAACCTCTGCCTTTTGTTTTTGTATTACAATCGTACCCCACGAAAAACAAACAAGAGGCCAACCAACACACGCCATAACCAGCTAACAGCAACCAGAAAACATATGGGAAAAGGCTCTGTGCCGTCATTGGAGCAATAGGGTGTGGATGTGCCGTCATGGGAGCCATGAGAAACGGTCATCATGGGAGCGAGGACTGTGACGAGAGCGATAGGTGTGCCGTCATGGGGGAGATGAGAATGGTCATCACGGGAGTGGATGTGCCTCACGGCTATTCTGTGAGCAACTTGTCTGTTGAGGGGAGAGGCAAACAAGGGGATGAAGATCCAAGGGACAAGCTGAAGGGGTGGAAAACCAATGGCAAAGGAGCTCTTGGGGATAGGGTGAGAGAAACCTGGATTCACTGTCATGCTAGATCTTATTCCCTTCATCACAGAAATAAGTTTCACACAGCTGTTACAACAAAATCACACAAAAACAATGAAGTCAAAACGAGGGAGGTTAAAAGGGGAACTGACTACGCTTGCAATCAGAGGAGACGAATTGATGCTAAAGACAATCTCTTAAAGGGTCAGAGCGAGCTCCGATTTAACCCCAAGGTGGCACTCACCATACAAAGTATTGAGGATGCGACGTAAGAGGGCCACTAGACCACTGTTGGAAGGTGAGCGGTTGAAAGGGACAGAAAAAATCGGGTGTGAGGGCGGGGAGAAAGAGAGGGGAGGGGGAGGGGGAGGGGGAGGGGGAGGGGGAGGGGGAGGGGGAGGGGGAGGGGGAGGGGGAGGGGGAGGGGGAGGGGGAGGGGGAGGGGGAGGGGGAGGGGGAGGGGGAGGGGGGGGGGGGGAGGGGGAGGGGGGAGGGGGAGGGGGAGGGGGAGAGGGGGAGAGAGGGAGGGAGACAAAGCAAGCAAACGATGGGTCAATTCGCATTGGTTCCTCAACAAGCAAACTTCAAACGCGTGTGAAACTTACCAACACAATTGAGCTGAGTGATCATGAACTGCGGGATGCCGGGTGAGCAAAGACAAGCCAGATTGTTTGTGGCCGGTGACATCCCGCAGTACGTAGCTCCCACAGCACAGTTCAACTGAGTGCACATAGCTGTGAAGGGGTTGGGGTGAAAGAACGTGGCAGACCAAGACACAAATAGTGGGACCAAGGGTGGGGGGATGTGGGACAATGACACTGTAACACCACACACCAAACCGAGATAGAAGTGAACTAAATATAAGATGAAGGGCAGGGGCGGATAAAAAAAAAAAAAAAAAAAAAAAAAAAAAAAAGATATTAAAAGCAATGCACAAGGAGGCATGAGAAAACTCTGCAACAGCAGGAGCTCTGTCACGTGTTAGAGGCAGCACAGCAGCACACAGGTGCATGCGCTAGAGGTAGCGGAGAGGGGAGAGGTGTGAAATGGATGTGAAATGAGGGGTAAGTGGGGTTCAAGATTGAAGACAACAAGACACTTTACAAGGATGTTGGAAAAGGAGGGGTAGGGGGGTTTAAGATTAAAGACAACGAGATACTTTCACGAGATGTTGGGAAATGAGGGGTAGGGGGGTTCAAGATTGAACACATTAGAGTAGTGACACCATCCACGCCAGAGGCATCACAGCAGCACTTCAAGCGACCATCACCCACCTGCAGGTTGGTTGCTGATGCACGTCCTGCCATCCGACTGCAGCACGTAACCACTTCTACACCAGCAGGTAGCCATGCCATTAACCAAATAACACTCGCTGTTTGCATCACAATTCTGGATCCCACAGAGAGCTGCGTGGGGGGGGAGGCAGAAAAGAGGGGCGAGGCAGAAGAGACGGGAGAGGCAGAAGAGAGGGTGGAGGACGAAAATAGGGGAGAGGCAGAAGAGAGGGGAGAGGACGAAAAGAGGGGAGAGGAAGAAAAGAGGGGAGAGGAGGGGTGGAGGGTGAGGAGGAAAAGAGGGGAGATGCAGAAAAGTGGGCAGAAGAAGGATGGAGGGGAGAGGGAGAAAAGGGGGTAGAGGAGAGGGGTGGAGGGGAAACGTAGAAACGAGAGGAGAGGAGACATAAATTTAGGAGGAATCACAGCAGCACACAGAATAGTGCATAGAAATACAGAGACTAGAACACAGCATTTTCATCACGTACTCTTGCACGTGCCATCCGGCTGCATCACAAAGCCATTGTAGCAAACACAAGACGCAGCTCCAGTAGTGGCGTCCCTGCTGCAGTAGGTGAAGCCACTACAGGTCTTCATCGCACAGTTGTCTGGGGGGGGGGGGCGATGGGGGAGGGGAGTGAGGAGTGGAGGAAATGGGCGAGGATGGAGTGGATGGGACGTGAACAAGTAGAGTGTAATGAAGAGGAGTGTGAGTAGAGACGTACACTCAAAGAGTGTGGGAAGGGTTGAGCGAAAAGAGGCCAAGCGAGGAAGGAATAAGCAGCGACGTTCAAGGAGAAACTGAGATGGAGAGATGGAGGGAATGGGCGAAGGAAGGAGAGAGGAGGGATGGAGGGAGGAAGGAGAGATGGAAAACATCTATCGTGAAAGATGATGCGTACCAGTGCAAATGTCATTCACCATCTGGAAGCCCGTGTTGCAAACACAGGATGCAACGCATTGAGCGTCCTTCATACAAGCAGCATTGGCACCACAGTTCTTGATGACGCATGTATCTGAAAGGAGGCGTGGAGAGAAGCGATTAGAAGAGTATGGCACGATATAGAAACAGATGAGGATGGGATGGAGGGGCCAAGGGAGGGAGTGAGGGAGAGAGCGAGGGAGGGAGCGAGGGAGGGAGTGAAGGAGGGAGAGAGGGAGGGAAAGAGGGAGGGAGCGAAGGAGGGAGAGAGGGAGGGAAAGAGGGAGGGAGCGCGGGAGGGAGCGCACGAGGGAGGGAGTAAGGGAGTGAGCAAAGGAGGGAGAAACGGAGGGAGCAACAGATGGAGCAACAGAGGTAGCAACAGAGGTAGCAACAGAGGTAGCAACAGAGGTAGCAACAGAGGTAGCGATGGAGGGAGCAATGGAGAAAGCAAATGAGGGGGGAAAGGAGGGAGGGCAGGAGGGAGGGAAGGAGGGAGGGAAGGAGGGAGGGAAGGAGGGAGGGAAGGAGGGAGGGAAGGAGGGAGGGAAGGAGGAAGGAGAGGAGGGAGGGAAGGATGGTGGGAAGGAGGAGGGGAAGGAGGAGGGGAAGAAGGGAGGGAAGGAAGTAGGGAAAGGAGGGAGGAAGGAGGGGGGGAATTCGGAGGGAAGGAAGGAGGGAGAGAACGAAGGAGGGAGGAAAGGAAGGAGGGAGAAAAGGAAGGAGGCGGAGAAGGAAGGAGGGAGGAAAGGAAGGAGGGACAGTGAACAGAGTCTAGTGGGAGTAGAGCAAACAATTAAACGGGTAATGGAAAGATGATTAAACGATTAACGATGTTTAAGGAGAAACTGAGATGGAGGGGTGGAGGGAATGGGCGAAGGAAGGAGAGAAGAGGGATGGAGGGAGGAAGGAGAGATGGGAAACATCTATTGGGAAAGATGATGCGTACCAGTGCAAATGCCATTCACCATATGGAAACCCGTTTTGCAAACACTGGATGCAACGCCTTGAGCATCCTTCACACAATTAGCATTGGCACCACCGTTCTTGACGACGCACGTATCTCAAAGGAGGCGTGGAGAGAAGCAATAAAAAGAGTATGGGAATGGGATGATTCACAGCACTTGATTCACAGCAGCACTTGATAGCAAAAGCAGCCAGGACTGGTGTGCCTCTGCCACCAAGTACAGGCGCGCATCAGCATGGCGCATCAGCATGGCAGTTGGAATACTTAGCACGTTGAGGCACAATACGGCATCTCACAAGGCATGGCACATGGCACGACACATGGCACGACACATGGCATGGAACACCACGGTTCAGAATATCGCAGGTGTCTGAGTAGCACATAGCAGTTTCAGCACATACCAGTGCACGTCCAGCCATCCGGCTGCAGCACGTAGCCAGAGTTATAGTCACAGAAAGCCCCATTACTACCACGAAAGCATTGGCCATTGGCACCACAGTTCTTGACCACACAGGCATCTACGTGGGAGGAGAGGCAGAAACGAAGAGCGGAGAGGAGGGGTGGAGGGGACATGAATTTAGGAGCCGTCACAACAGCACACAGAGTAGCACACAGAATCACATACTGTAGCACACAGCAGTTTCAGCACATACCAGTGCACATCCTGCCATCCGGCTGCAGCACGTAGCCAGTGTTACAGTCACAGAAAGCCCCGTTACTACCACGAAAGCATTGGCCATTGGCACCACAGTTCTTGACCACACAAGCATCTGCGTGGGGGGAGAGGCAGAAACGAAGAGCGGAGAGGAGGGGTGGAGGGGATATGAATTAGGAGCTGTCACAACAGCACACAGAGTAGCACACAGAATCACATAGACTAGCACACAGCAGTTTCATCACATACCAGTGCACGTCGTGCCATCCGCCTGCAGCACAAAGTCACTGTCACACACAGAGGACACTGCTCTAGTAGCTTCGTCCTTGATGCACCGGCTGTTCACACCACAGCTCTGGATCACACATGTGTCTGGGTGGGGGGAGCGATGGGTGAGGGGAGTGAGGAGTGGAGGAAATGGCCGAGAATGGTGTTGAAGGGACGTGAAGAAGCAGAGAGTAAGGAAGAGGAGTGTGAGTAGAGATGTGCACACAAGGAGCATGGGGAGGTTTGAGGGGAACGAGGCCAAGCGAGGGAGGGGTAAGCAGCAACGTTCGAGGGGATGGGGGAGGGAAGGAGGGAGCAAAGGGGGGAGATATAGACTGTGAATAGGGAGCTAGTGGGAGCAAAATTGAAACGAGTAAATGACTGATCCGAAAGATGATGCATACCAGTGCAAGTGCCTTGCACCATTTAGAAGCCCTTGTTGCAAACACAGGATGCAACGCCTTGAGCATCTTTCACACAAGAAACATCGGCACCACGGTTCTTGATGACGCATGTGTCTGAGAGGAGGCATAAAGAGAAGTGATTATATAAGTATGGCACGAAAGCAAAACAGATGAGAATGGGATGGGGGAGGGAGGGAGGGAAGGAGGGAGTGGAGGTTGGGAAGGAGAGAAGGCGGGAAGGGGATGCAAGAGAGGAGGGAAGGAGAGAGGGAGATGCAATGTGAATAGAGCGCTAGTGAGACTATACAACTCATTTGAAAAAGTCAACGCACACACCCTTGCACACGTTGTGTTGCACAGCACAGCACAGCACTGCACACCCTTGAAAGACTTCATGGAGACATGCAATCTACCTTGCTTGTTGGACAGCTACAGCAGCACTCACCAGTGCATGTGTAACCGTCGGGCTGCAGAGAAAAGCCAGCATTGCAAATGCAAGACGCCACTCCAGCACTGTCCTTGATGCACCTGCCGTTAACGCCACACTTCTTGAGCACACATGTGTCTGGCCGAGTGGAGAGTAGGGGGTAACGAGTGGGGTGAGAGGGAAAAGACTAAGGGAGAGGCACTTGATTCACAGCAGCACTCACTTGATAAGCAAAAGCAGTGCGAAAATGGTGTGTCTCTATCATCAAGTACTGGCGTGAATCAGCATGGCACTTGCAATACTTAGCACGTTGAAGCACAAGACGACACAACCCATGGCATGGCACGTGGCATGGCGCATGGCATAGCTCATGGCATAGCTCATGGCATAGCCCATCCATCTCACACAGCATCCACTTACCAGTGCACGTCCTGCCATCTGCCTGCAGTTCAAAGCCAGTGTCACACACACAGGACGCCGCTCCAGTAATTCTTTCCTTGTTGCACTGGCTGTTCAGACCACACCTCTGGACCTTCCAGGTGGCTGTGTGGGGGAGATCAGCGGGGGAGGGGAATGAGGAGTGGGGAAATGGACGAGTATGGTGTGGGAGGGACGTGAACAAGGAGAGACTAATGAATAGAAGTTTGAGTAGAGACATGCACACAAGGAGTGTGAGTAGAGATGTGCAAACGAGGAGTATGGGACGTTTTGAGGGGAAAGAGGCAAAGCGGGGGAGGTGTAAGCAGCGTCGTTCAAGGGGAGACAGAGACTAAAGAAGGGAATGGGGGATGGAAGGAGAGAAGGAGGCAGGGAAGGAGGGAGGAGGGAGGAGGGAGAGAGGGAGATATTGACTGTGAACAGATGGCTAGTTGGAGCGAAGCGACAATGGATCCGCAGCTTATTGGGAAGGTAATGCGTACCAATGCAAAGGCCTTTCACCATCTGGAAGCCCGTGTTGCACACACTGGATGCAACGCCTTGAGCGTCCTTCACACAAGCAGCATTGGCACCACAGTTTTTGATGACGCACGTATCTGAAAGGTGGCATGGAGAGAAGTGATTAGAAGAGTATGGCACGAAATAAAAACAGATGAGAATGGGAGTGGGAAGGATGGAGGAGCGGAGGAGGGAGTGGACGGAGGGAATGAGGCAGGGAGGGGGGATGCAAGAGGGGGAGAGAAGGCTGGAAAGGAGGGAAGGAGACCGAAACCAGGGTCACACACACAGGACGCCACTCGTGCAGCACAAAACCATCAGCCCCCCACACAATTCTGATATGCCATCAGAGGGTATGGCATGGCGCATACCGGTGCATGTGATGCCATCAGGCTACAGCACGAAGCCAATGTCACACACACAGGACGCCGCTCTTGCAGCGCTCTTAGCACACTTGCCGTTACCACCACACTTCTTGAGCACACACGTGTCTGCCAAGGGAAGGGAATAAGGCATAGTGAGTGGAGAGGGTAAGCCATAGTGGGTGAAGGAACAAACAGGGAGCTTATTCATGCATGTATGAGTGTAAAGGGTGGAAAGTCGGAGAGTTGTGAGTGGCAAGGGCATTCTTGAGTCAGCTGCTGCCCGCCGTTGCCATCCTCGCATAGGTGTCTTTGATCTTGTCAAGGACCGGCTTCACAGCATCGCCCGGTCGCATGGAGAGGGCAGCCAATACCTTCTCCAACACAATCACCATCAGCAGCGTGTTGGGCTAAATCACATCGCGCAGTAGCTTCCACGCCTTCAGTCCGGAGTCGTCAAGCTCCACTAAGTCTTTGATGTGCCGGAACATATCGTTGTTGACCGATTGGAGGATGAGGTCGTACAGCACCGCGCTCTTCTCAATCCATCGATCGCGGGCATCTCCTTCCTCCGCCATCTTCTCTTCCCCCATTGCAATTTTCAGCAGCTTGTAGCGCTTGAAAGCGCTCCTCATCCGCCCGCTCCATTCCTCATAATTGGAGCCATCCAAAGCTTGGATCTTGGATGGTGGATGTTCACTCCTCTTCCCAGCTGCATCTCCACTCCCTTGATTCATCTCCTCTGTGCGGAGATTCACTCTACAACGGTAGTGAGCTAGACTACGGGGGTTGGCACGAACTACTTGGAGTGATCGAAGCTTTGCCTAGTTCCTTAGTGCTTGCACAGTCACGGGAGAAATTGGCAAGAGTTTTCACTAGCAAAGTTTGAATTCCACAATTGTTGAACAAGCAATGACAACAATGAATACATCAGGCACCTAGCAATCATGCAGCTAGCTTGGTCGACAGACAACACAACATGGTCGACCGCCTAGCATGGTCGACCGCCTGCCAGTGTTGCGTAGAGGAGCAGCGCCAGCACTACAGAAAGGCGACCTGCCAACACAGCAGGTCGACGGTGTGCCAACGCTGCAGCAGAGTGACTGTCCAGTGTTGCCCCGTAGAAGTCAGCAGTGCGCACGCTCGTAGATGCGCGCAGACGATTGGCCCGACTTGCACCGTTGTGCATTCGTCGGCTGTTGTCTGCGCCTGACAAGCCACATCGACTTCGGGATACCGACCCGAAGTCGCCTTCGCCATTGCGACCTTGACGACGATTGCGTGCCTCCGCAGAGCTCGCCGAGCAGGTTACCCGGTCGACCTGGACAGCCCCAAGTGCCTCTGGTCGACCACCGGGTCCCTCTGGTCGATCACAGCTCCTGTCGAGCTACCCCTTGGTCGACGGACCCCTTTCGTCGACCAAAACTGTCAACTGTTGTCGACAAGCTCCCCTCGTCGACCGCTGCTCACTTCTCAAGTCGACCTCCCGGTCGAACAGCCCCTCCTGGTCGACGGCCCACCCGTCGCCCAAACCAGTCAGTTGCAGCTGTCGAGCTCCCTAGTCGACAGCAAAACCACAGCGGTCCCCTGCAGCTCGACGAAGCCGGTCAAGCAGCTCTTCCAGTGTAGACGGTCGGCTGCTACTCCCGTACATCCGACCAAGTCGTCGGCGTTGCCCAAGCGAGGGCGGGGCCAACACTTCACTCCCGTTAACACTCCCTTGCCGCGCTCACGCTTGGGCGCCCAGCCCACACGGCAGCACACTACGGAGAAAGCTCGTCCTTGGCGTGCACCCCTCACATATCACACCGTCACCGCACCAGCCGTGCAAAAGGGCACGGCACCTACCGCTGCACATTATCGTCGCCATCGCCGACGTCGACCAGACGAACTTGGCCGATGGCGACAGAGCACCGGTTGAAAGCCGGAAAATGCAGCGCCTTCGTCAGGAAGTCTGCCGACTGCTTGGTAGTCGGGATGTACTTCAGTACGAACATCCCGCGCATCACCATGTGCTGCAGCCAGGCATGGCGTCGCTCCATGTGCTTGAGGTTGCCCGTCAGCCCCAAGCCAGCGTCGACAGTAATTGCCGACTTGTTGTCGACGCGAAGGATGGTCGGCTTCCCAGTGTCAAGCAGCTTGAATTCCGCAAGAAGGAAACGAAGTCGGCGTCCCTCCTTGCCTGCATTCGTGGCCGCAACGTACTCCGACTCTGTCGACGACAATGTCGCGCACTTGATGCACGAGCTTGACCATGAGACGGCGGCCCCTCCGTAGACGAACACGTAGCCGCTCGTGCTCGTCCGCTTTTGCTTGTTGCCCGCGTCGTCGGCGTCCACGTAGCCGATCAGCTCCAGCGACTCTGGTCCACCGCCGAACTCCAAGGCGGTGTCGCGGGTGTCAGCAAGGTAGGCGAGGCAGCGGTCGACCTCACGCCAATGCTGGTCGCTCCTCATCGTGAGGCCGCTCCCCAACTTGCTGCAGGCGAACGCGATGTCCGGCCTCGTCGTCGTTGCCGCGAACTGCAGCGAGCCAACCTTTTGCCGGTACTCCTCCTCCTCGCGCTCCTGCGCCTCCTCGTCGTCGAATGTTAGCTCGGCGTAGGCATCGACCGAGACCGGCGTCTTCGGGACTTGACCGCCCTGCTCCTCGTCGATGAAGCGCCTGCGCAGCTTGTCGGCGTAGCTCTGCTGGTGAAGCCATAGCTTCTTCGCTGGCTTGTCGCGCACGATCTCCAGCCCGAGGTACTTGACGACCGGCAAAATCTCGCGTAGCTCGAAGGCAGCCTCCAGCAGCTCCTTTAGCTCCTTCAGCATCGCGGGGCTGCTGCTGGCGGCGAGCAGGTCGTCGACGTAGACCAGCACCCAGCAGGTCACTCCAATGTCGCCGGCCTTGTAGTAGAGCGCCTCATCGACCTGGCTCTTCTTCCAGCCAGCGCCTAGCAGCACACCGTCGAGTGCCCTGTACCACAGCAGCGGCGATTGCTTTAGCCCGGATGCCCAACTCGGCGATCGCCAAGGGGATCGTCCCGTACTCACCATCCGCATGGCGTTTCCTCGCATCAGCCAAACGTGCCTCCAAGGTGTCCATCCGTGTGGCGTTTCCT